GGTCCGGGCTGGGGATTCGAACCCGCCACCTTAGGTGTACGTGGCTGGCACCTTAGCCGGTTGAGCTATAGGTGCTGAGCCGAAACTGTTAATAGGATCAAACTTTACAGTGAGTCTTTGGCAAGATATGGCAAAAGCCCTTACCTTTACCCACTGTATGGCCTCGGAGAACTGCCACAGGGGTTTGCAAGGTTAAGTGCTATTTATGAAGGTACCTACATGCTGAATAAACCAATTGAAGAAATCATTGTACAGAATGGAAAAGTGGTTGATGTAAAGTCTGAAGGAGAGATTGCTCGCTGTAAGCAGCTCATCTGTGACCCTAGCTATGTAAAAGATAGGGTAGAAAAGGTGGGTGATCAGAGTTATTTGCATCCTCAGCCACCCCATCAAGAACACCACCGATGCCAACTCCTGCCAGATCATTATTTCGCAGAACCAGGTCAATCGAAAGTCAGATATCTACATCTGCATGATTTCCTCTGCACACAACGTGGCGGCACAAGGGAAGTATACCGCCATAATCAGCACAACCGTGGAGACCAAGGAGCCTGAGAAGGAAATCAAACCAGCTTTGGAGCTCATAGAACCAATTGAACAGAAGTTTGTCAGCATCAGTGACCTCCTTGTACCTAAAGACTTGGGAACAGAAAGTCAGATCTTTCTATATTTCCTGCACATATGATGCTATAACTCACTTTGAAACAACCTGTGATGACAATAAAGACATCTATAAGAGGATGACAGGATCAGAGTATGACTTTCAGGAAATGAAGTGGAAGAAAAACGACATCTACGGGGAGGACTAACAGCAGCATATGCTGTGATCTCTTTAGGACAGATTTAAAATTTGGCAAGTAACGCGTTATATAAAATAAGTCTTGTAAGGTCTGCTTTTGTAATCAGAATGGAGAGAGATCTGTGCCAGTGACTATTCCTCCCCTCCATCTTTCTAATATCATGTATTAACTTGTTTTCATGGAGTGGCTATTCAGAATTGGCAGGTTACCACATTCTGTTCAATTTAACCAAATTGGCTTTTTTTCTAGCAAAGGATCAGTTTCAAATAAACATTGCAATACTGATACTGATACAGAGAATTTTGAGACAGAAAAAAAAAAAAAAAGAAAAAAAACCATTCTGGAATTAGAAAGTAGTAGAGGTTCCACAATTTTGTGAAAATACTGAAAGCCACCGAGTTGTACATTTTAAAAAGTAAAAATTAACGGGTATATTCTAAAAACAAAAAAAGGAATTTTTTTTTTGGGAGACAGAGTCTGTTTATGTCACCCTCGGTAGAGTGCCAATGGCATCACTGCTCACAGCAACCTTCAACTCTTGGGCGTAATTCTCTTGTCTCAGCCTTTCAAGTAGCTGGGACTACAGGTACCTGCCACAAAGCCTGGCTATTTTTTGGTTGTAGTTGTCATTGTTGTTTTGGCAGGCCCAGGCTGGATTCGAACCCACCGGCTGTGGTGTATGTGCCTGATGCCTTAGCCACTTGAAGCTACGGGCACCAAGGCCCCCCCCCCCCAGTTTTTGGCCAGGGCCAGGTTTGAACCCGTCACCTCTGGTATATGGGACGGGTGCCCTATTCCTTGAGCCACAGGAGCCACTCAGAATTTTTTTTTTTTTTTAAGACAGTTTCACTCTTTCACCCTGGGTAGAGGTGGCATCATAGCTAACAGCAATCTCAAAACTCTTGGACTCAGGCAATCCTTTGTCCTCAGCCTCTCAAGTAGTTGGGACTATAGGTGCCAGCCACAATATCTGGTTGTTTTTCTATTTTTAGTGGAGAGGAGGTCTTGCACTTGCTCAGGCTGGCTTCAAATTCTTGAGATCAGGAGATCTACCCACCTCCTGGACTGCTAGGATTACAGGCATGAACCATTAACAATGGCCTGAATGGAAGATACCAAGACTTTCAATCACCAAGTAAAAAGTACTAGGACTTTTTTTGCCGGTGCTTAGTAATGTAAGACAAAGCCTCAGGAATAAAATTAGTATCAGGCATTCTACATCTATTGTCACCATGGGCTGTAATTTGCACTTAACTCTGCACATTCCTTTTTTTACCCCTACACCCCCCTACTCCTGTCTATATTCTCCTCTCCATTTTTTGGAATTGATGGTCAATCTTAAGCAAAACTGCTCTGCCTCTCTTCTGTAGTCTTCAAGTGTCCTAACTACATCCCTGGGTTCCCAAGTCAATAATCCCCATGTTTTTCTAAAAATTGCAGGATTTCAATCGTATGCAGTTATGAGATTTCAGATAATAGTTTCTAATAACCAGGTGTACAGATTGTTGCCCTCCCATCCAGTTCTTTTCTACCTGAGTTTTCTCAACTGTTAAGCATGAATCTCCAAGTATGTCTCTTCCGATTTTTCCTAGATCATTCCTCCTCCTCTCATTTTCAATTTCTACTAGGACCAATCATTTAGTGATCCAAGAACCGTTAATCTCATTCTTCCTTTATCCAAACATCCATCAACTGCTGCCCTTGTACCTTCATTAGGACAAATCAACGCCACAAAAATTCAACTCTTAGCTCATCTTGAGTTTGCTGTTCAAATGGCTATAAAAAGAGCTAAGCCATAGCAAGGGCCTGTAGTCCCAGCTTCTTGGGAGGTTCAGGCTTTTTTTTTTTTTTTTTTT